CATGCTCCTGGAAGTCTGACCTCAGGCCGTCCCCAGCTGTGCAATGCTCTTCCCACAAATGCCCACCCGGCTCGCTCGTTCACTTTCTTGAGTCTCCAATCAGTGTCGCCTTCTCGGGAGGCCACCCTGGCACCCTTCTCTCAACGTTAGCCACTCCCGCCCCTTGTTCCCTCTCCAGCTGCCCCCCTTTATTTTAAATTCTTAGCACTTACCCTTTTCCCATCTGCTACACAGTTACTTATTTATCCTGTTTATCTCCTGTCTGCCCCCCTGCAATGGAAGCTCCACGAGGACAGAAATCTTTGCTCTGTTCTTGGCACACGCACTAACATCCGTTGAATGAGGGAATGGTGACTTAGGAGGCTAACACAGCCGTGAAGAAGAATATAAGAGAAATCTGGAATCCTGCCCTGCCTGCCCGGGGCTTATGACCTGGTTAGGGAAAATCGCTGGGTGCCTGCCCTCCTCACCTCCCACGCTTTGAAACTCGGGATTTCCGCCACTTGTGTTCTAATGGACTTTGACATCATAAAAGGGCCCCCTAACATGTTAGTGCCATTCACCCAAGAGAGCTTTATCAAGGGTTGAATTCGGGCGTCCCGATCTCGGCTGACTCCAGTAGCACAAATGAGGAAAGCTGCCCGCACACTCGGAGCCATCTGGTCCAGCCGAGCTCGGTGTGGGAGGCCCCGAGGAAGCGTGATTAACACCTTTAGGCTTCAGTTCATTCAGGGACTTTACTGTGTCTCCAGGTTTCAGGTTTTCCATCTATAATCTAGACATAAATCATGTCAGTTAGCTTTTGCTTCATAATAAACCAGCCCAAAATGTAGTGGCTTAAAAGGAGCCTCTTATTATTTCTTGCAAAACTCAGGACTATCCATGAGTTCTTTGGGCTCGTGTCTGGCTTGGCCCACCTCTGTTGTCTGGCCGTCCGGCGGGGACTGGCTGGTCTAGGATGGCCTCGGTCACATGTCTCGTGGCGGGAGGGCAGTAGGTGTCTGCTTCGTGTCGTCGATAACCCTCCATGAGACGGGTCCAGGCTCTTCGCATGGACATCTCAGGTTCCCAAAAGTAGCAAAAGAGGGCAAGTCCCAATGCACACATACCGTTCGAGCCTCGGCTGCGTCCCATTTGTGAATGTTCCAGTGGCTAAAGCAACCGACACGGTCAGGTCCAGATCCAAGGAGTAGAAAGAGGAACCCATCTCTTGATGGGAGGAATGGCAGAATCCCATTGTAAAGGGGTGTGGGTGCAGACAGAGAGGAATCTGTGGCTGGTGTGTGGTTTGGTTTGGTTTTTGCTGTCTACCTCAATCATTTCTCTCTTAGAAAAATACATCGTGGCTGCCATGAGAACATGTCTGGAAGACGCTCAACCAAGGACCGTACCTGAACACAGACCCTATGCTGCTGTGTTCTGAAATCCATTGTTTCATATGCAGTAGGCCATGTGCCTGCGACCGCGTGTCGCAGAGATACTAAGGGAGGCTCATTCCCGACCGATGACCGCGGACTCTGGCGCTAGGACTCCTCGATGCCCTAGCCAAACCTCCCAGAGCCTACACAGCAGGCTAGAACATTTCTGTCCATCCTCCTTCCCTCTTCCCTTTGCTGAGGTCTGACGACTCTCCCAGCCTTGTCCAGCTCACCCCATTTTCTCCCCCAGCAGTGTCCCCCAATAAAAGCCTCACACATTTAATCCTGTCTTGGTGTCCTGGCAGCTAACGTGGGCTCTGGGCTCAGCGAAGGCAGAGCAATGCCTGACAGCACGGAGGGTCTTGGGCTGCTGAGAATAACTGGGCTTGCTTCCTGGAAAGCGTTTTCTCTGACAGGTGCCCTTTGGCAGAGACAGCCTCCGTTTCAGCGGGACTGGGGTCCAAACATTTCCATTCCTGTCTTGACTATACAATGTCATGGTTTCATTTATAAGTACTTAGAATAGATATCACTTATTAAACACCAACGACATGCTGTATCAGAACAAGTACTTTAAAAGCACTACCTCTGATTCCCTCATCTTCAAGGGCTCTAGATTCTTGTCCCCATTTCACAGGTGAAGAAAGAGTGGTTCAGAGTGGTTTCGAGACCTGTCCCAGAAAGCTGGCGCAGGCAGGCAGGCTTCTCTATTGTCTATGTTAGGAAATTTGACTGTAAGTTCCAACAATGAATCTCCAGGCCCACAGACATTTTGGGGACCCAGACCTTGATTCCGACTCTGCGGAAGCCAGAGTGTTGCATCATCCAAAGAATCCCGCGTCCTGCAGCCAGACGTTGCATGCTCTCCGCCTCTCGGGGCTGCCTAGAGTGCTCTTTTCATTCTTCCCTCCCTGACACTTGGTATTTTTCCCCCAAACGCATGACTTGGAAAACCACTCCCCCTCATTCATCAAGGCCTGCCTCAAAGGCCGGCTGCCCTTGCTCCCAGCCATCTGACCACGTTCCCTCCCCGTGCAAAGGTGACTGGCCCAGCCGCAGTCTGAGCCGACTGACCTTCTCCGCCTCTGGCTCACAAACAGCTTGCCAAGCGCTTTCAGCCAAGCGCGGGACAATTTACAGCCAGAGTGGGGGCTGTCACGGTGCCTTTGATGCCTCCCTCAGGCCCCGGGCTCATTCATCACCAGCCTGGGAAAGCTGCAGGGGCCTCCGTGCTAAGGGCTGCTTCCATCTCCAGGCTGGCCTGAGAGCCTGCAGGACGCTGTGACCCACGGGGGCAGCAGGGGGCCGGGCACGCAGCCACCTGCCTCCAACCCACTGGGTGCTGGTGCCCTCTCCCTCTCTTCCACCTGCTCTCCCAAACTCCCCAGCAGGGACCACGCCCAAAGCCCTGAAGAAGGAATAAATATTCAGGGATGCACGTTGTCAGAGCTGGGGGCACCACCAGTCCTGTTCGGTTTGGTTTGGACCCACCTGTGTGCTCTGGCATGGTGGGAATGGGGAAGGTGGTAAGGATCGGTGGCAGGCGACACCGGGTCAGGTTTCCCAGCCCCTGGAGTTTGCAAATGAGGCTGGGTTTCTGGAATAAAGATTTCCACCTCCTGAGGCTGCAGAGGAAGGAGCCCTTTTGTTGCCCCTCCTCAGATCCTGGCTTTCACAGGATGCCTGCGTGTTGGAAAAGCCCAGAAATGGGACTTGAGCACTGTTTAGAGTTACCTTCAGTAATCAGTACAATTAGTCTAGTTACTGCCTGGCGTTGACCTTCAAGGCTAATTTGGAGAGATGAGCAAGAGCGGGACTCTGCATGGGCTTGCCTGGACAGTCTTGGATCATCAAACTGTGGTTTTCCCAGCCAACATGGAATGCGGTCCGCAAGCCTTCATGCCACACATCAGGGGAGCCGGGACCACAGGCGAAGTGCACCGGGCGGGGAGGAAATGGACAAGGAAGCTTGGAGACAGCACAATCCTCGCCAGTCATTGATTCCCAGAGTTCTTACTCCTCAACCCACGCCCTCCACCTCTCAGGGTAGGGGAACAAAGAAGAGCAGGAGGGCCTAGAAGGGCAGGGCATGAGGACAGGAAATCCCCCATGCACTAGAGCCACCCAAGAACGCTAGGTTTAGATTTTCAAAGAAAGTAGAAGTGGGACTCTGCATGGCATCTCGACTCCATCCCCAGGGCCCAGGCTCAGTTAACAGAGGTGGGTTCCATTTATGAGTGGAATAGTGTAGAAGTCACAGCCCGAACAACACGTGGCAACCAGCCCCACCCATCAAACAGACTCTGAGGTTAGGGGTGGGATAGAAACCTATCACATGGTCAAGGCTCTTACTGACTTGATCAGGGCCTCAGCAGGAAGCAGATGACAAATTAAGATGATTCTAGGAAGGGTTTAGCGGAGGGAGCAGTTCCTGAAGCTAGAACAGAGATTGCCATGTGCAATCTGGGAACTCCGGGAGGTGGAGGGACTTCTCCAGCTGACAGGCAGGGAGCCAGCGGGTAAATACCCGGACTTGACTCTCCCCTTCATTCTAGAGCTTCCCATTGGCCAACCAGAAGCTGCAGGGCGAGGGAGCCAATTGATATCCATATAGGTCATATCCATACTCCCGGGGCACAGAGCAGGGTGGGGAAGTCTGGAAGCTGGATCTGAAGGGGCAAATAGGGCCCATCCAAACAGGTTTAACTGTTTTGCTATCTGACTCCAGGCCGCACTGATTTTTAGCTTCGTGCCAATTGAGAAAACAGGAAGACATTCATAAGCATAATAAAGGAATTTATAGTTCTATTGCTAACCCTCAACAACCTTTGTCCTTTGTCCTAGGGTCCTTTGCATGACCACACTATGGATTAGATCTGTGTCCAAAGTCACCTAGAGCTTAAAAAGTGACCTTGCAGAGCCTGTCAAAGGTGACCTCAGAGGAAGACTCTCTCCATGGGGATATCTGAAAGGGGGACCAGCTCTGGTCTTGAGCCTTGCTCCAGATGCAGGCACGCTGTCAGCCAGCGTCACTGGGCAGGTGCCCTCCCACCCACAAGGAGCCACCTTCACGGTCCCGAGAAACTGGAGACTAGCAAGTAGGAAGCCACAGAGATGAAACCAACCCTGGGAACGACTCGTGTGGCATTTAGACAAAATAGCTAGGAGAGAGAGAGTGCTGTTCGCCAAAAGGCGTATTAACACAGAATCACGAGGGACTTTAGGTAACACTGAAGAGGTTGTGACACGAAGAATAGGTCAAAATGTACAAAATAACTTGTTTCTGCATTTTTTTCCCTTTCGGTTGCCTTTGGTTTCCCGGCAATTAAGTTGTGTAAGGTGAATTAGATGTTTTGCTTTGTTTTAAGTAAATACGTGGTGTGATTTATTCCTATTACTGGCGGCGTGTTTCTCGGGGAGCTCCTGGCTACTAATCCTAAGTCTCAAGTCTCTATTATAACGCTAACTAACAGCACCGTCTTGCCACGGGTGGCAATAAAGAAAGAAAAGGCACAGTACACGGAGGGTCTCTGAGCTTCACGAACAAAGATGAACATGCTATAGGAGAGAGCAAAATAAAAAATATATATATGTATTTTTTGCCAGAGTACGAAAGTGCAGAAGGGAAACAAGGAGAAGGAACGAAAATGAAGAGAGGAAGGAGAAAAGGATCAAGAAAGGAAAACCAGTCTCCGAAATCGGACACCTCAGGTGGGCTTCTGTTATTGAAGCATGTCCTGGATGCCCATGATTCTTCAGTTCCTGCCAGAGAAGCCAAAAAGTCGAGGCCCACTGAGCACTGAGGAGGGGGGCACCCTGCACGTGAATATACCTGAAGGTGGTCTTGGTGCACATGGCCGGGTTGTCATTAATGTCCTCTACGATGAAGGTTATCTGCACACGATTCTCTTGACCCCCTGAGGGTCTGTCCTTCACCAGAACTTCCAGAGAAATGGAGGGATTTTGTCTTAATTCACCTGCATCTCGGTCTAGCCTGTGGGCCACTTGGATCGTACCGGTCACTGAAAAGGCAAAGGTGAGAACACGACTCTTTGGAGACTTGGAGGCAATTGGAAAGATCATTCTGGTGTGAGGACTGGCTTGCAGGGAGAATACCCTCTATATAAACACATTTTTAAAAAACTCAGGTAAGTTCCTATATTAGACATTGATTGGGATACCCAGCCTGACCTTTCCAGAAATTTTCACCTCAGACTTCAGGGCTGGGCCCCTGGCAGCAGGCCTTGCCCAGAGTTGACCAGACTGGTAGACAGCTGACTCCAGTCAGCTTGATCCACTGCGTTCTCTTACTGGAGAATGTGTCACCGAGAGACACAAGTCAGGTTAACAGTGGAGCTACTGATCAGAGGCCAGAACCCTCACTGCCAAGGTGGATGGGGCAGCCCTGGTTCCCACCCTGTGACCCACCCACCGGTTCTTGTGGGATCCCCAGGATCTTGTTGCTAGGTATCCCTTATCTTTTTTTTTCTCTCATGCCTGGTTTGGCTTGCCTTCATTTCTGTTACTTGCGACCAGCGTCTTAATAAAGTTGTTCCAAAAAACCACTGCATTTCTTTTTTTTTTTTTAAAGATTTTATTTATTTATTTTTTATTTATTTATTTTTTTAAAAGATTTTATTTATTTATTTGACAGAGACAGAGACAGCGAGAGCAGGAACACAAGCAGGGGGAGTGGGAGAGGGAGAAGCAGGCTTCCTGCTGAGCCGGGAGCCCGATGTGGGACTCGATCCCAGGACCCTGGGATCATGACCTGAGCTGAAGGCAGTCGCTTAACCAACTGAGCCACCCAGGCGCCCCTAAAGATTTTATTTATTTATTTGAGAGAGAGAGAATGAGAGACAGAGAGCATGAGAGGGAGGAGGGTCAGAGGGAGAAGCAGACTCCCCGCTGAGTAGGGAGCCCGATGCGGGACTCGATCCCGGGACTCCAGGATCATGACCTGAGCTGAAGGCAGTCGCTTAACCAACTGAGCCACCCAGGCGCCCCCAAACCACTGCATTTCTTAAAAGTGACATTTGCAATGCTAGAGTGAACAGAATTCTAAACCATGGTTGTCCATCCTTACATCATTGGCTGAGTGGGGTCCTCGATGATAGGACGCTAGCAATGCTCAAGATAGAGCACAATTGCCTTAGCCTGTCTCTCCTGGGACCAGGCATCCTTTGCCATAAAGCCGATGGGGCAAATAACACATTGTTTTTCTGGGATTGTCCGATGCTGGCCTCCACAAAGTCATCATGCACAGTGAAGTCCTTCGGAAGGATGTGATAGGGGAGAACTTACGAGGTGGTATCGCCTAGGAGTGGTCTCTGGGGTCGCAGTCTTTGGTTTCAATCTGCTTCACACCCACAAGCTGTGAGGCCTTGGACAAGTCATTTACCCTGTCCAAGTCTCTCTCTAAGCCTTAGTTCCCTCATCTATAAAGTGTGGATTACGATAGTTCGCTGGGTTGTTGTGCTGGGTATTTAAAATGGAATACATGCGGATCGCTTAGTATTAGCACCTGGTATGTGCTAAGACCCCAATAAAAGATGGGTGTTCTAGGAGGGGAAAACTCTCCTTCTTGCACCGACATACTTAGACGGGAAGGTAACTCCCAGCAGCCCAGCAGATTGCTCTAGATCAAGGTAGTCCAGTATGGTAACCACTAGCCACATGTGGCTATTCAGCACTTGGAATGTGGCTGATCCAAACTGAGATGTGTGGTAAATAAAAAATACACAGCAAACTTCCAAGACTTGGTACAATAAATGATAACATCAAATACGTCATTAATAACTTTAAGATATTGGTTACATGTTCATGACAATATTTTGGACATGTTGGGATAACTAAGATGCCTTACTGAAGTTAATTTCACCTGTTTCTTGTTACTTTTTAAAAATATGGCGGGGCACCTGGGTGGCTCAGTCGTCAAGCGTCTGCCTTCGGCTCAGGTCATGATCCCAGGGTCCTGGGATCGAGCCCTGCATCGGGCTCCCTGCTCGGCAGGAAGCCTGCTTCTCCCTCTCCCACTCCTTCTGCTTGTGTTCCCTCTCTCACTGTGTCTCTCTGTCAAATAAATAAATAAAATCTTAAAAAGAAAATGTGGCTACTAGACTTAAAATTACATACGTGGCTCCCGCCCTGTTTATTTTTGGACAGTGCTGGTCTGGATCCTCTTTTCAGAAGACTTCCAGGTACCCTCAGGATAGTGAACTCATCCGTTGTTAGAGAGCCACCTGCTTCAAAGGTGAAGGAGTGATATAGCTCGTCCCCTTGGGACCCTGTCCAGTTTCCCCGAGCCCTAAGTCAGCTGCTTTTAATGCATCTATTACCCTGGTAAGTTATGATACTCCAGACAGAAAGGCATGCCCCAGAACAGAAGACAGATAAAAATATTTGTGAAAGAATCCAAATGGCTGAATTAAAAGATGCACGGAAGTGTGTGTGTGTGTGTGTGTGTGTGTGTGACTTACACTGGTTGATCATGAAATAGCGGTTAGGGGTCGTGATGCCATAGAGGAGGAAGCCGGTAAAACCTTTGTCATCGGGGTCCTCCGCTGTGATGTTGGCCACAATGGTGCCTGAAGCCAGCTCCTCAGGAATCGTGTACACTCGCGCCGGGCTGGAGCAGAAAAACAGCAGACACAGCTCATTTTCAGGGGCATGGGAGGGTGGAGTCGGCGAGGTGGGTATTTTGGTTAGTGCTAAATATAGCACTGAGCTTCTGAAGTTGCATCCACATGCTCCAAGAAAGCAGTGAGCAGCTGAAAGGAGCTGGGGGGAGCGGCTTTTGGGTTTCCAAAGATCACGTCCCTGATGATGCCACCATGTACAGTCGCCTCGGCTCTGACTCCGCACACGCCTGACACTGATTCGGATCGGCCCTGGAGTTCACATCTCTGATCATCAGGATACTCGGCCTATCCAGCCATCTCTCCCTCTCCAGTTCTTGTGCAAAAGCTCCCTGAGTGATTTTAAAAATCCATCTGGACAGGGGCGCCTGGGTGGCTTAGTCAGTTGGGCAACTGCCTTCGGCTCAGGTCATGGTCCTGCGGTCCTGGGATCGAGCCCCGCATCAGGCTCCCTGCTCATCGGGAAGCCTGCTTCTCCCTCTCCCTCTGCTCTTGCTTGTGCTCTCTCTCTCTCTCTCTCTCGCTCACTCTATCTCTCAAATAAATAAATAAAATCTTTAAAAAAAAATCCATCTGGACACAGTTTCCTGGCTCCCATCGCCTGGCTGCCACCAGACGCTATGGTAATAAACTATAAATACTTTTTATTTCTTCATTGTCTTTTTTGTTTTGTTCTGTTTTGCCTGCGGAAGCAGAATTTACGCAGAGAACTTGTACACCTTCCTGAGTTGCATTTATCACAAGGTCAGCTCTCTGAACAGAGAAGTCAAGGTCACTGCCCTCCAAGGATGCCCTCTTACAAGAGAACCCCAAATCGCCAACTTACCCATCCTCCTCAGGCCTCCACTGCTTTGGGAACAGGCTGATAACAAGGCAGAGAGATTCGAAGTTTTAACCACACAACTTGGGTAAAATGAGTAATTTTACATGCACCAAGGGAGGCTTATTGTTTAGAATAACCCTGCAGGAAATCCTTCTGCTGAGGGAAAATCATTTCAGTGGGGCAAATCATCACCCTCTGATTTACCAGTTTCCTAAGCTTGGATTTTCCCTTCCTTAAGAGGGGAACATTATATCTCAGGTCTAAATGATCACATTCGTTTTGTGAGCTCAGAATTTTTCTGCAGTTCTGTCTCATCCTCCTCACAGGGTAGATGGGACCAGAGGGAAGAGAAAGGAGAGGGAGAGGGGACATCCAGCTAACATCAGACAGAGACAGGCAGAGACAGGCTACAAGCAGGCCCTCGCTCATCGGGGCTCCTGCCTGGGGCATGGGTCTGCCCCCCATTCCTGAGGTGACTTCCTGTCAGTGCGCTCTATTGGGGGGACAGTAATCTTGTTCAGGCTGAGAGGCCACCCCAGTGCTCTGTGCCTCTCCCCACCCAGGGCCTCACTGAGGCTGCCCATTGATCCACTTACTTGCCTGACCCCTTTCTCGGTGAATCTGGGCTGCAGCCCACCGAGGGGCAGGAATAGACAAAGCAGGGTGAGCCAAGGAGGCAGGGATGGCAGGAACCAAACCCAGAGCCGGAGGAGAGAGGGACGTAGCCCCAGCTCCCAGAGCCAGACTCAGCCCTTGCGTCCATTATGTGAGAGCCTCTGTTTCTAACATATTCTATTTTTTTCTTTGGTTACTTTGAATGGGTTCCGTTAACTTCGAACAAAGAGATTGCTATATCTTCAGCCCTTAGCCAAGCTACTCCGAGTGTGGTCCCCGCATGTTTCACAGGCCCCCTGGAGGTTCTGGATCTGAATGCAGAACTCAGGCCAGCTCCAGACTGCCGAATTGAGATCCACGTTTCCCCAAGATGACCAAGGGATTCGTGTGCGCTTTAAAGTTTGAGAAGAGCTCCTATAAGGAATCACCAGAGGTGACAACCACAGATACCCAGGCTGCCATAGGACAGAGAACACCTTGGGTGGAGAATCCCCTTCTTCTAAGACAGTGCTTCTCAGCTGGGGGTGATTATGTTGTTTGTCACAAGTGGAGGCAGGGGCTGCTACTGGTCTCTAGGGGATAGACCCCAGGGATGCAGCTACACCCCTATAGTGCAGGGGTCAGCGCCCACCACAGGGAATGTCCACAGTGCACTGCTTAAGGCACCCCGTTTTGCAGGTTCATCTGCCCCCCCGCCGGGCGCACCAGGAAATCAGGTCTCCGTGAAGGGGACCAGTCAGGCTATTGGTGAGTGCATAGCTCCTCGGGTATACCATTCTCTCCTTGGCTCACCTGATATTGAGCCTGGCAGAAGGCAAAAAATCTTTGGTTTATTTGGTCTGGGGACCCAAGACCCAAGTGTGTATAAAATACCATTTAACATAAAGGTGTGACCCTCAGCCCACAGTTAAGATCTATTCAGCCAGGGGCCCTGCAGCCACCCGACAGGGTCAAGCTCTGATATCACTTACATTCCCGTCCCCCCTCTGCCTGTTCCCTACTGCCCCCCCATAACACTGGATTACCAGGGCCCAGGTGAGGGGGAGTCAAGGGCCAGTGGCCACATTCATGGGGAAGGGCATGAATCCCAGAGGATGGCTTCAGTATTACGGATGAGTATGCAGTAGGTGCATAAAAGTGTGTATGCATTGCGAGGCACCAGGTTGAAAAGGATGGCGGGTAAATACAAAAGAAACAGGCAGTGGGAGAGAGACTGCTCAAGCCTAAGGTAAAGTGCTCTGCCAAAGCAGCAAGCATTGTGCTTGCTACGTAGAGAGTAAATGTAAGTCAAGTACTTTTATAATAAGGTGCTCGACCGTAATAATAGCAGAATCCTTGAGTACACATCGGGAGTCCACAAGGCATTCAGATGTTTGCCACCACCCAGGGATAAAATGGTGAGCTCTCGACAACAGAAATAGCGCTCGCTTTGGTTGTATTAATTGTAGGACTTTACCAACTAGTAAAGATAGAAGAGTTGTTTCCACATTCTGCAGCTTTGCTTCACCCTCAAACTCAGTATAGCTGAATCAGTCTGAGGGTTTAATTGCATTAATTCTGAATTAAAGAATTTATGGTTCGTCCTGACACTGATTTGGAAGGAAAAGAAGGACCATGGCTCAAGGGAACCATGAAAGCCCTCAAAGTCAGTACCTACTTTGAAACCGTGCAGACTCTTACAAACTGTGGTGGCTGAGGGACGAGGTCGACTCTAACCTGGGTGAAGTCAGGGCAGCCCCTCTGCCCCAGTCCTTCCAGGGACAGGCTCTTGCAGACCCATCCCTGCCAACATCCATGGGTCGCTGTTTGACATAAAGCCCAATGACTTGTTACGAAATGGTTAAACGGTCACACAGACCATGTCTCTGGCATGGAGCCTAACGGGATCATCTCTCAAACCAAAAAGGAGAACCAGAGTTCCAGACTTATCTCTGGGGGCCCCAGCAACCGGCCAAGGCCATGTTCTCTTTTTGCGGAGGCCAACTGCTTTCTTTTGGAAGACGTCACCCAAACCAGGTGGTCTCCCCCTTGGGAGAACTTATTTCCCCCCTGGCAACCCCATTAGCCTGCTTCTCCGCCTCACAGACTAGAATGTGGGAGCGATGTGGCAGACGGCATGGCTCACACGCAGCCGTCGCCTGCCCCTGTGGGTTACTCGTGAGTCTGCATGGCTGTGCCCGCGAATACTTGAGTCTGAATCCAGGCTGGGATGTCCCAGCTATTTATAAACTGCCTGTGCCGGGCTCCTGGAGGAACCGGTCAGCAGAAGCGCATTGTGCCATCCTTCTGAGCTTCGCCTGGCCACAGGGCTCGCGGGGAAGCGTGGTGTGGGAGTGCACCTGCTGTTGCTCCCTCCACGTGGACACCCAGCCACTGGGCTGGAGACCGTGCACATCCGGAAGTTTCACAGCGGTGCTGGGTTTTGCCAAACAGCGCCAGCTTAACCTGTGAGTAGGGTGGCCTTCACACCTCCCGATTGCAGAATACTTTTGCAAGCATTCTATGTGGTTCTGGGGCCCCAGAGGCTTTCTGTTGGTGGAGTCTCCTGAGCTGGATTTATTCACAGCCACGAAAGCAGTTACTGTCCCTTACCAGGCAGGTGATTTTGCCGGTTGGCTCTGGCTGGCTCCTGAGCCCCCCTCAGCAGCTGGGGCAGGGGGAGTCTGGTAACCAGGAAGCCGGGCTGCTTGCAGGGTCGTTTGCCAGCTCAGAATCTCATCTTCCCCTCCGAAATCCCGATCTATAACAGGCTTGGCTCTGCTCTTTGTGCCTGGGCCGGTGCCAGGCCCATTCTCGCAGGCTACCTCACCTCCGCTGGATGTAGGAGTTCCAGACACAGCCACATCTCTTTTCTGGACCCACCATGGCGGGAAGAAATCTAGAACACCCCGCAGCGGGCAGGCCTCTTAGGCATCATCGAAAGAGACCTCTCCTCCGTCAGAGAGCGCGCCAATCTGAGAGTGGGCTTTAGAGAGCCTTGACTGATGGCGCGTGCCCTAGGGTTTTGCTATTATTCATGCTGAACACTCTATTATAGCAGTACCTCTATTACAACAGCGTATTTACCTTTTATACAGGCCCAGCGGCCAGCCCCGCACCAGGGGCGTCGTGTCCAGCCCTGCTCCCCACTCCCCCCCGCCCCGTACCCACCATCCCCTGGTGCAGGGGAAAGGGGAGTGAAGCTGGTGGCAGGGGAACATCCGGAGGCTCAGAGAAAGGACGCTGAAGATCTCAGGCCTCTTGGCTCTCCTCCGGGCCAGGGCAAAGGGCATCCCTCTGTGTTGTATTAAATGCGTCTGAGAAAGCCGGGCCACCCAGGAGAGATGGCGGCTGCGGCCCAAGGAGCCCGGCTTGCCCCCAGGCCTACCTGGTAAAGCGAGGGATTTCGTCGTTGACATTCACAATGTTCACCTGGAGCCTTGTGGAGGCTTCGAGCCCTTGGCTGTCTCTCACTCCTGCAACCAGATGGAAACTGTCGGGGAGACCACCCACCCCTGAGTGAGGGACTCAGGCTTTGCTGACACTACCTCAAAATGGAGTGGGGGAAAATGGGCTGGGAGGAGGGAGGGAAGGGTCTGCCCCTTTCTGGCCACCCTCCTACAGACGCACACATCGAGTCAGAGCTGCCGTGTTGACCCTTCCTTCCTCGTCTCTGCAAACCCACCCCTCCCCTTCTCTCTCTCCCTATAGTTGCTATTCCTGGCCACCATCTCCCCCCGGGGCTGCTCACGTCCGCCACGTTGCACACCCTGTCTCTGCCCTTCCTCACAGTATCCCTGCGGACGTGTATTACACCCATATGAGGAGACCAAGGCTCCCAGGGATTGAGGAACTAGCCTGGTGACGTGAGCAGCCAAGGTCACCCTGTGTGTTTTTATCCTCAAACCTTGGTCTCTCCTCACCTCTTTCCTCAGCCACCTGCTCGCCTCCCCTCTGCTGCTCTGATGTTAGCAAGCAGCTCTGACAGCTGCCTCTCCCACGCCAGAAAGGCACCTGAGGCAATTCTCCAGATTCCTGGGGACACTTCTCCCATCCCTCCATTCTTATTATGTGGAGATGAAGATTTGGGACGGGGAAGGAGGGCTTCCAGATAATTGCCTTAGTCCCTCTTCCTTCTAGGGGCTCACTGCCCTCTGAACTCAGCAGGAAGGCAGAAAACCACTCGGGGCCTCCCTCGCGGCCCACAGGCTGCACCACGCCTGCTCCTTGACCCTCAGATAGACGGTACTTCAGCAAGGTCATTGGCAAAGGCTACCTTTTGTGTCCTGCTTCAAAGTCAAATTCTGTTGTAGAGAAGAGGGTCCCATTAGCAGACATTCTGAAGTTCACTGAGGGGAAGATCAGGAAATACTAAAAAACAAGGAAAAAAAAAAGAATGTAACTGAGAGTACCTATTCATCTTTCCCTGGGAGACTAGTTTGTTCCATTCCCGTTTTATATTCTTGGCCCATGGAACATCCTTGATGCATCGGGGTGAAGCCCAATGCACCGTTCTCAGGCTTAATGGTTCTTGAAGCAAGAAAATTCTGGATCTGCTGGCCTGAGCCTCTGACCTGAGAAGCCACACCCTGAGGAGGTGGTCGCTGGATCCAGCAGGCTTCAGTGACAGAGCGAGGGTGAAGGCCCCCTGTCTAGGCACTCCGCTTCTGAGTCCAGTCCCCTTCTCCTTGTCACCATGTTCTCACTTGTGCTTCTTAGGATGATGTCTGGGGGTTGAGTCTAGATCTTGGCTTTGACCCACACTATTTAAACAGGGCTACCATGCATTAGGCGATAGGACGATACTAGCATAAATAAGATCTGGTCTCTACCCTTAAAAGAACTTACGATATAGGAGGGTGCAAAAATGTTCACAAACATCATTCACTGACATGATGGCAGAGAAAGGGAAAGGGACAGGTGCAAGAGAGAAGAAACTTAGCAGGGCCTCAAGTACAAGTTGGAAGCTGGTTTGGTGTTACAAGGGCTTAGTTTTAGAATCCGATCTCAGGTTTATGGCCACTGGTGAAGCTTTTCCGTATCTTGGCGGTGTTGAGAATCTAATCCTTTATGGCTCCCAGTGCCCAGCCCGGCTCTCTTAATGAGCCCCTGCCTGGCCCCACTTGCTCTGAAGGGAACACAGGCTTATTTGCACAGCCCCCTGAGGGCATCCCATGGGAGGACCAACCCCGTGCTATCCATGGGTGCGCATCAAGATTGCTTCCTTGTCACCATGATGATGTCAACGAAGCAGGTGAAGGAGCTGGGTCAGAAGAGCTGAGTCCAAGTTCTGGTCCTCACCACAGGAGCTGGGACAAGCCCCTCCCTTGCCTGTAATATACGGACAATACCACCAACTGTTCCTCCCTGTTACTGTGAGAATTACATCAGAAGGCACGCTGGAAAATGCGAAGCACCACAGCAACGCGCAAGGCTTACGTGTTTGTAGCCATTTGTTCCAAGGGGCTTTAAGGTTTGAAGGTTTCGTTATTTCCTACTAGGATGAGAGATGATCTATCCTCAAGGCCTTAGATCTCTGGATCAGATAATCAGTGGAGATTTTGCAATTGGAGCCACAGCCCCTGAAGTCTAGAATCAAAGGAAATGCCAACCAAGGCTTCCAACCCAGCGATTTGCTATGTTGTGTGATCGCAGCTAAGCTCCCCACAGGAGAAGAGAGAATACACAGAAAATAGATTAACGATCTCATTTGGGGCCATTATAAGGTTTTTAACCATTTTCCTAATTGTAATAAAACATACTTTTACACACAAATTAGGAAGGACAGAAAAATATAAAAAAGAAACTTAAGATTAGTCACCTATAAAATCTTATGATTTTCACAAAGAGCCCCCTGTTCTTTTCTATGCACACGTATACCCTCCAAAAAAAAAAAATTGAGATGATACTCTAGTCAAAATTACATTCTCTTCGCTCTTTGCCTTTGTGCTTGAGCATTTTCCCATATTCTTAACTCTTACCTCACCGCCTGGTTGGTTAATGATGCACAGCTCTCTACTGTAGGGCTTACTTTGCTAGGTCTTTCTTGCTGGTCACTTAAGTGGTTCTTACCCATTTTTAAGTGGGAATATTTGGGCAGCAGCAAGGAACACCTTTCTTCCAGCCCCTCCAAATTGTATAAACAGCGTGGCAGCACTCAAAGGTACGATGTTTAAGTCCCAAGGCCCCCCACCGTCTCCCCAGCTCACAGCCTGGGCAGCAGCTGCCTATATACATCTGTGCAGAGTCGTTCTGTGCCTTTGAGCTGAGCCTTCCCTACAGAGAATCCTCACATATCCATAGATCAGAGGCTCAGGCTGGATGTGATGGAATGGCAGGGCTTATAGACCCATGGGGGGCATTTACTATATGCCCCTGGATCGGGATGCCTTTCCAGTGTGTTTACTGCTCTAGGGGATAGGTCCCCAGTTCTGGTTAGTCTCAAACAGGAGAAAGCCTCTGGCTACAGAGATGACAGACAGACCCTGCTCTCCAAAAGCTGATGGGCAACTGGCAGAACACACAAGGAAAATGTGGGAGACCTGCTCAGAGGGAGACTACATAGGATATGATGGGAATGGAGGAGGGGGACTTAGCCCCATCTAGAATAGAAGAGTCACGAATGGGGGTAGCTGAGTCAAGTGCGGTGGCCCTGGAGCCAGACTGCTCAGTCCGAATCCTGGTTCTACTCCTTTGCAGCTGTGAGAGCTTTTGCAACAAAGAGTAATAATAACAGCGCATGTCCAAAGGGTTATCACCTAAAGTTCCAGAACAGTGCCTGGCACATGGTAAGCCCTCAGTCGAGGCGAACTACCACTGTGGGTTAGAGTGTAAGATCCACGAGGGAAAGGGCTTCATTTTACTCATTACTACATCTCTAGTGCCTAACACATAACAGATGCTCAATAAATATTTTTCTCTATCAATACATATTCATTAAATGTTAAATATCGGGGTTTTCTTCTTGCCTATTTCCCATTGGAGACCAGCATTCCCACCTTAAAGAATTTTAAAACAAAAAGGCAACAACAACGAAAAGCTTGCCGAATTAAAAAAAAAAAACAAACCCAATCTGTTTTACTTTGGTAAAGCGAGGTTGGATCATGAAGTCTCCCCCAGTTCCGCCTACTTCTCAGCGAGCAAGAAAAACGAAACGGCAGCCGACAGAAAGGGCGCACGGTTGTAGACTCAGGAACATGGAGAATTTCTTTTTCATTTTTATTAAGAGGCTGATTTCCTGGAATCCTGATTTTTTTTTTCTTTTAACACCAGGCTAATTTCCTTATCCCTGAACCTACGAGCCTGTGTTAATGGGAATAGCAGTTTTGTACTCAGAAAGGAGATAATATCCATAGACTAAAAATATTGTGTCATGTGGCCATTTGCCAGCAACTCGGGAAAGCTTTCTGTAAAACCTGGCATTCTCTTCCCTTTTTAAAGGCTTGTTTAATCAAAGCTGCTCCCTTGATATTCATTCTTGGAAAACAGAAATTAAATAGAATGAGAAGCCGCTGCAGCCCCTCTCTGAGCCACCACCAGCTAAGAAAAGTCCTGAGTAATCAGATCAGTTCGGTTCACAAATGCTTGTCAGACAAGCGCCGGAGTGTCCCCGCTGGGAATATTCCTTTACTGCCACCCCAGGTCTCTCTATTTGCAGCCCTTTTTGCCAGCTACAGTTTGCTCAGGGACACAAAGGCTTCAGGGTGGAAGACAACAGAGCCTGAGCTTCCTGCCCCATTCCCCCTTTATCGTGTCGCTAGTGTCAGGAGAAAGGAGGGTGAGAGGAAGCTGGCCCAGTTTCCTGAAATGTCAGGCTCCCTGGGGGAGAGCACGCCACCTCAGTGGGGCTCGCTCACTGCAGCCCGAGCTACAAGCAAATCGCGATCCAACTTGTGCTGCTTGGCAGCTATCCATGGTTTTCAGGCCTGCCGTGGAATCAAGCGACAAGATTTCAGCCTCCAGTCTCCCAAGAACAGAGCCGTCAACTTCCAGGGGCCAAGTTTCCAGGGAGAAGGAAGGACCTTTTTTCCTCCCAAGGCCAGGAGTGCCAATGGCTCAGCAAGCCCCCAAGATCATGCCCCCAACCTCCCCCCACACCCCCCCACAGAGGACTCGCAGCACACACCATCATCTTCCAACCTGCTTATGGCCGTTATAAATACGAGGTCACGTTCCCGCTGCATTTTTTCAGTGTAAGGTGAATATTTTATAAAAGTCTTGATTCCTCTTTCTTCCCCTGTCCCACCCCTATCCCAGCTCAGAGATAGGTGGTGGGGGACAGAAGTAGGAGGGAAGGGTGTCTGGGAGAAAGAAAAAAAAAAACCCATAAAAAATCCTACTGCAGCCTTAACTTGGCTTGGCTAGTGCAGTATTGTTATGAGGGTGAGCTAAGTGGGTGGTATGCAAGTATTTGAATGTTTTTAAGAAGAGCCACATTTACAAATGAAAAATGCTATGGGTATGTAATCCTTTACTGGTAAAGCTACCAAGGATTCGACCCTCTCATACTTTCTCATTCCTTTTCCATAATCAGCCTGGGTCCTATTCTCTGATTCAGGCTTCACCGATCTTAAGGAGAACACTCCCCATCTATTTGAGGAAGTGTCTCTCCCAACATATGAACAGTCATCAGGGGTGATGTATGTGGTACGGGAATTGTCCAAAACCACTGCTTTTTCCTTTCTTGAGCATTTTAACAAGAAGAACCTGGAGTAGAACTCGTTTTGCAAGGACTCCTGAGTTAGCAGACAGATGTCATGGGGCATTGAACAAATGATGTACATCTGTGTGTGTGTGCGTGTGTGCGTGTGTGTGTGTGTGTGTGTGTGGTGGGGGTAGGGACATGTGGGGAGCAGGAAGGGCGCTGTCACTCAGGAAATCAAGGGGACACCAAGAACAGAATTAGCCAGAACAAGGTAGAAGGGAAGGAGCAGGGTTTGGGCCAGGAGACCTCGGTTCCCACTGGAGTTCCAGGGCCCAGGCAATGGCCTCAGCTCCTTTCCTCATCCGGAAACAAGGGGCTGCTCAAGGCACCTGAAAAGTCCCATCCAGCCAGCACCAGCAAAAAGGACCACTTTATTTCCAGGAAGAGGGAAAGAACAGCTCGCCACCACGTCTCAGAGCCATGCACAAGACGGAGGCAGGGAGAGGCTGACTTCCCCCGTCACCCTCCTGGTAGCCCAGCTAGTAGCAAGGTCATTGCTCTTTTAATTTCATCCTTTGTCTGCCCTGGTGAAGACAAAGCACATTTCACTTTATGCAAAAGTCCTTCCCTAATGGAAAGGCCAAGAGAAAGCTCCTTAATGAAGGAATCGCTGCGCTAGATCACTTTGCCTCCAGCTGCGGAACTGATTAACGTCCTGAGAGTCTCC